GTTAATCATAAGTGATGATTTTTCAAAGAAGAAAACCTGTTACTTTGATCGAAGTGCTGGAATATATATATATATATATATAGATACTCTTCAAACCTTTAGGCTCTGGTTGTTTTGTTGGAATTGAAAGTGTATGAAATGAAAATGGAAATGTAAACGGTATAGAAATTAAATGGATACTACCTTAGATCCACTTGTTCAGTAGAGTAAGGCTTTGTTTGAGGCGGCTTTCTTTCTGCTTCTTAAAGGAGCTTGTTAGTACAAAAATTAAAGTTTTTGTACTAGGAAGCTAAGATTTTTGTGCTAGGAAACTGCTTTAAGAAGCAATAAGAAAGTCGTCTCAAATGAAACCTAAGGATTCGTTAGGGACGGCTTTCTTGATGCTTCTTAAAACAGTTATATAGTACAAAAATTAATTTTTTTGTACTAGAAAGTTGCTTCGAGAAGCAGCGAGAAAGTCGTCCCAAACGAAGCCTAAAAGTATAGTTGAAAAGCAATTTTCCGCTTTTTATTTGAAGAAATGACCAATAATTTGAAGAGAGTGCTACCTTAATTCAGTTTGATCTATATGGAGTTTCATGGAAATCATGATAGTTTCCTTGGCATTCTTTAGTTTCATACGGTAGCAAAGACAGCAGGGATTGTTCACAATGAATGGTTGGAGAATGCGGATCGCTGGGTTGCAGGTTTTCTTGAAAAGTTTGAGGAGGGCTGTCATATCATGGTAAGTTGAGACCTGTCCAAACGTTTGATTTGGTTATCAACGTATTTAAATTTGTAATATGATAACCAATGCGTGTTGCTGTTAACTGACAGGAAACTGCAATCAAAGACCGAATTCAAGAGAGATGGAGACCCAAATCACTTCCTCAAGAACAATTAGTATCATGATATTGCCCACTTTGGCATTGTCATATGGAAGTATTTCGTTTTTTGGGGACGGGATTCGAGCCCGGATGAGATGGGAGGAATTTCTTCCGTCGACCACTGGCCGCAGACCCGATCTCTATGGAAGTATGTCTTGCTTGCTTCTTTCTTCTTTTATTCTATTTTTTGTTGCAAAAGGAAGAGATCATCAGATCATAGCTATTATATCGCCAACTTAATGTCATTGTTTACGGAGTACCGTTTACATTCTGGCTGTACAAGTTCTTTCTGAATTTTTTGCTCATAGACTTGTCCTTATTTTGAAGAAAATCATTTCTGTAAATCATAGTGGATTTCGTGAAAGCTAGAATTATTATGAATAATATCTGCCCAGAAAGTTATTATACTATAAATTTTAAACAAATGGAATTCTGATATTTTCATAAAACTTTGCTTTCCTGTTAATTAAGATGTGGGCTACAATATTCTAATATTTTCATGTGTAAATGATATAGGTTAAGATTATGTCACTAAGGTTTCGTTTGGGTCGGCTTTCTTAATACTTTCTAAAGCAGTTTTGTGGTACAAAAATTTATAGTTCAAAAGATTTTGGTACTAAAAAGCTGCTTTAGAAAAGAATTAAGAACTCATTTGGAACAAAGCCTAACTCTCATATTACATTTAAGCTTTATTTGGGACGATTTTTTTACTGCTGTTTAAAATAACTTTTTAGTATAAAAGTTAAAATTTTTGTACTAAAAAGCTGCTTTAAGAAGTAGTAAGAAAGCCATCTCAAACGAAGCCTTAGCCTTCATCTAAGACGGATTTCTTACTCATTAAAGCAACTTTGTAGTACAAAATTTTTAATTTTTCTCCCAAACAAAGCCTTAGTTTTGCACAACTTATTTATGGCCCATGAGAAAAGCTAGGAATATGACCAAATATAAGGGGCATTTAAGATAAAATTAATGACATTATTAACTTTATTTTGAAAGACAAGTTTTCTAAATGTAGATAAATTAATTAATTGTAATTTTTGCTGCTTTGTTGGATTTTGGCATTACATGTAAATGAAACGATTGGTTGGATGCCAACATGTTGGTTTTTTATAGTCTTGTAGACCGGCTAGTTTTTCTTATAGACATGTGGCAAAAGAGAGCCTTATAAATCAATATAGATATAGACCCTACCGGGCTTAGGTGAGTTGGTGGGCGTGCTTGGTTGGGAACCCTCCATCCCAAGTTCGAATCCCCTCTCATACGTCACGACTCCTTAAGTGGAGAGAAAAGAACTGTGAGTCTTGCACTTATGAGATTGGTTGCTGGTAAACTCGACGATGAATTAGTTATGCCGTCAAGCACCTCTTTCGAAAGATGGCAGTGGGTAGATAACCCCGTTCCCAATATATATATATATATATATAGCTATCATCAGTGAGCTACATGTAGCAATCTTCATATATATGTTTGAATGCACCTAAAGGGAAATAAGATTAAGATTTTAAAATGAATATTAAATGATTGATTACTCATTATATTAGTATTGCCCATTACCCTTAACAAATGTCAAGTTCATTAATTAATGTTATAAGTGCTTGCACATAATTTTAATAGTATGATATAAGGATTGGTAAAGTATTATGGAGTGCAACTCATGCTTCACATACGCAAGCTTAATAGAATCAACTCTTCATTACATATCCTGTAACGAGTTCTTGACGAATATATCTACAAGTTCATTGATGTGTGAGGGAGAATAGTAGTTCGTGACAAATAACAATCGACAATAGTATGTTAATGATAAAAGTTTGAACCAATTTTAAATTACTCATTGAGTATAGCGAACAATCGAATATAAGAGGTCATGCTTCATTATGAGTGATTTCTTACAAAATCAACTTTAGACAATTTCTCACCTTAAAATCATAACATGGATGTTTAAGCAATTTCATACATTATGAGATATGTAAAGTAAAGTTTCTCTAAAAAATATAAGATAAATCATTAAACAAATAACTAAATTATCATTAAATAATGTTTTATCAAATTAAAAAAAATATATATATGTTGCGGGCTAGAAAATACGCGGCGATAGAGATTTAATTCTACGTCTTAGCGTTGTACGTATAACTAGCACACACAGAGAACACAAGATTTTTTACGTGGAAAACCCTTAAAAGGGAAAAAACCACGAGGCCTAGTCCAGTTGAAAATGGTTCCACTAGATTTTGAGTTGGTTACAAAGGACTGAATCACCACCAGGGGTGAACAGATTACAATCAATTATTTAAGTAAGACGTCGAGTCTTCGGCAGGACGTAGGGACTGAATGTCGGGCCCTGAGTAGGACGTCGGGTCTTCAGCAGAACGTAGGGACTAAGTGTCGGGTCTTGAACAAGACGTCGGGTCTTAGGCAGGAAATAGGGACTGAGTGTCGGGCCTTGAACAAGAC